GTACAGTCCCGGTCTCTGTATCACACTGGGAGTCACTGTGTACAGTTCCGGTCTCTGTATCACACTGGGAGTCACTGTGTACAGTCCTGGTCTCTGTATCACACTGGGAGTCACTTTGTACAGTTCCTGTCTTTGTATCACACTGGGAGTCACTGTGTACAGTTCCAGTCTCTGTATCACACTGGGAGTCACTGTATACAGTTGGGGTCTCTGTATCACACTAGGAGTCACTGTGTAAGGTCGCGGTCTCTGTATCGCACAGGGAGTCACTGTGTACAGATCCGGTCTCTGTATCACACTGGGAGTCACTGTGTACAGTTCTGGTGTCTGTGTCACACTGGGAGTCACTGTGCGCAGTTCCAGTCTGTGTATCACACTGGGAGTCACTGTGTACAGTTCCGGTCTCTGTATCACACTGGGAGTCACTGTGTACAGTCTCGGTCGCTGTATCACACTGGGAGTCACTGTGTACAGTTCTGGTCTCTGCATCACACTGGGAGTCACTGTGTACAGTTCCGGTCTCTGTATCACACTGGGAGTCACCGTGTACAGTTCCGGTCTCTGTATCACACTGGGTGTCACCGTGCACAGTTCCTGTCTCTGTATCACACTGGGAGTCACTGTGTACAGTTCCAGTCTCTGTATCACACTGGGAGTCACTGTGTACAGTTCCTGTCTCTGCATCTCACTGGGAGTCACTGTGTACAGTTCCCGGTCTCTCTGTATCACACTGGGAATCACTGTGTACAGTTGCGGTCTCTGTATCACACTGGGAGTCACTGTGTACAGTTCGGTCTCTGTATCACACTGGGAGTCACTGCGTACAGTTCTGGTGTCTGTATCACACTGGGAGTCACTGTGTACAGTCCCGGTCTCTGTATCACACTGGGAGTCACTGTGTACAGTTATAGTGTCATAGTGTCCTACAGCACGGAGACTGGGCCTTCAGCCCAAACTAGTCCATGCCGACCAAAATGTCCATCCCTGCTAAACCCACTTCCCTGCACTTGGCCCATTACCTTCTAAACCTTTCCTGTAAATGTATTTATCCAAATGCATTTTAAATGTTGTTAATGCACCTGCCTCAACTACTTCTGCTAGCAGCTCATTCCAAGTGCGTACCACCTTCTGTGTAAAAAAAGTTGCCCCTCAGGTTCCCATGTATTCTTTCCCCTCTTACCTTAAACTGATACCCTCTCGTTCTCGATTCACCAACCCTGGGAAAAAGACTGAGTGCCTTCACCCTATCCATGCCTCTCTTGATCTTATACACTTCTATAAGATCACCCCTCAGTCTCCTACGCTCGAAAGAAAAAAGTCCCAGCTTGTCCAACCTCTCCCTATAACTCAGTGCCTTGAGTCCTGGCAACATCCTTATAAATTTCTTCTGCACTCTTTCCAGTTTAATAGCATCTTTCCTGTAGCAAAGTGAACAAAACTGAACACGATATTCCAAGTGTGGCCTCAACAATGTCCTGTACAAGGGCAACATAATTTCTAAACTCAATGCTCTGACTGATGAAGGCCAATGTGCCAAAAACCTTCTTCACTGCCCTATCTACTTGTGACTGCACTTTCAGAGAACGTGCACCTGAACTCCAAGGTCCCTCTGTTCCTCTACACTTCTTGTTGCCCTACCATTCACCATGAAACTCCTACCTTTGACTTTCCAAAATGCAATGTCTCACACTTATCTATATTAAACTCCATTTGCCATTTCTGGTTTCTGTATCACACTGGGAGTCACTGTGTACAGTTCCAGTCTCTGTATCACACTGGGAGTCACTGTGTACAGTTCCAGTCTCTGTATCTCGCTGGGAGTCACTGTGTACAGTTCCTGTCTCTGTATCACACTGGGAGTCACTGTGTACAATCTTGGTCTCTGTATTACACTGGGAGTCACTGTGTACAGTTCCTGTCTCTGTATCACACTGGGAGTCACTGTGTACAATCCTGGTCTCTGTATCACACTGGGAGTCACTGTGTACAGTTCCGGTCTCTATATCTCACTGGGAGTCACTGTGTACAGTTCCGGTCTCTGTATCACACTGGGAGTCTCCATGCACAGTTCTGTCTGTGTAACACACTGGAAGTTGCACCATCACAGCCCCCTTATAAGTCTTGCAGTCACTGTGCACAGTTCCACCTTCAAGCTTACACAACAATTTTCAGTGTACAAATTCTGGCTCTCATATTTTAAAATGTAAATAGAGTCACTGAAGCAGATGCAGAAATGTTTGAAAATGGTGACAAGAACTGAATCTGCAGCTTTTAGTCTCAAGCATTCTTGAAAGGCTACACGTTCAAGAAACCAAAGGGAGGATGGTCTCAAATCTGTCCTGACTCAAGAGTCTGGTGACGAGCGAATTTTGGACCCCAAACCAGAGTCGTACGTTCTAAAATCCCTGGGTCAAGTCATCTGTCCCAGGGAGTCAATGAATAGAAAGGAACTACAGGACGGACGTGGAAATGTTAAATCTGGTTGTAACAAGGTGCAGGAGGTGGAATAGCGGCCTGCAACTTGCCTTGATGATGACTCGCTGGTCGGTCTGGTCCTCCAGGATGCTGTCCATGGGGTAGGATTCCACCTGCTGCCGAATGGCCGAGGCCACAGCCGGTACAAAGTTCAGCGGGTTCAAATCCAGGTCATCGCACAGGATCTCAGCGAACATCTCGGGCGATATCAGCTTCTCTGCCGAGGACAAAGAGTGGGAACAAGAGCCTGTCAAAGTTGAAGGGGTTGGGGAAGTAGGTAGGTGGAGGGCAACCGACACCTGGAAGCACGAAACTGCTGGACACCAAGGATCCCACAACATTCTTGCAGGAGGAAATTCCTCTCAATGTGGGACTGGGGTGAATACAAACTCACAAATAGCCCTGGAAGTGAGGGACGCTATCCCCAGGTTCCTGAGTTTATTTTACTGGAATTATAATCCAAGGTACAGTAGTGTAGGCTATGTTACTTGAATAATAATGCAGAGCACAGTAATGTAGGGTAAAATTACTGGATTAATAATCCCAGGTACGGTAATGAAGGGTTATATTACTGGATTAATAATCCCGGGTACAGTAATGTAGGGTAACGTTACTGGATTAATAATCCTGGGTAAAGTAATGAAGCGTTATATTACTGGATTAATAATCCCAGGTACAGTAATGTAGGGTAATGTTACTGGATTACTAATCCCAGGTACAGTAGTGTAGGGTAGTGTTACTGGATTAATAATCCAGCAAACAGCAGTGCAGGCTATGTTACTTGAATAATAATGCAGACTACAGTAGTGTAAGGTAAAATTACTGGATTAATAATCCAGGGTAGAGTAGTGTTGGGTAATGTTATTGGATTAATAATCCCAGGTACAGTAGTGAAGGGTTATGTTACCAGACTAATGATCCAGGTTGCATGTGTGTTTAGTTCTGTTACTTTTGAGTGTATCTTCTGCCTGACCTGTCGATATAAATACCTCAAAACATGCGTTGATGCTCCTGACTTGCTCCTTGAGCCCCCTGAATTTGTTTATCCATCTTTACTCTGTTGCCGAACGATTGGAAATATTTGCTCACTGCTCCCGGTTCCCCGGGGGTCACAATCGACAGTGGGCAATAGAATGTGAATGCCCCACCCCGCGCTGGCCTTGCAGAGCTAGGGGCTGGTTTTCCCATGGTCACTGCTGTGTTCCCATTACCGTTCATGTTCCAGGTGAAGGTGTCTCGCAGTTTTTGTCCATCAATCTCCATGTCCAACCGGATAGGCACCAGGAGCTCAGGCTGGGCGGCATTCTCGTGGATAACTGCGGGATCGTGGTCATCGAAACTGCAGGAAGCGGAATTGAGAAAGGGAGAGTATGAGACAGAGAGTCAGGCAGAGAGGTAGATGCATGGAAATAGAGGGGAGACAGAGAAGTGGGGAGGTGGGAGGCAGAGAGAGAGAGGGTTCGAGAGAGACAGAGTGGGCAAGAGACAGAGAGAAAGAGAGGGCAGGAGACAGGGAGAGAGAGAGAGGGTGAGAGACGGAGGGAGAGAGAGAGAAGGTGAGAGACAGAGAAAGGGAGGGAGAGAGAGGGAGGGAGAGAGAAAGAAAGAGAGAGAGTGGGAGAGGAAAGAGGAAGAGAAAGGTGGGGAAAGGCAGAAAGAGAAAAAAAGAGGGAGACAGAGAGAGAGAGAGAGAGAGGGAGGAGCAAACAGAGAGAGAGAGAAAGACAGAGAGTAATAGGGAGAGGGAGAGGAGACAGAAGCAAAGGGTGAGAGACAGAGAGCGAGACAGAGACAGAGGGAGGAGACTGTCCTTGCATGAATGTGGTACCAAGGCACCCAAATAAAACTGAAAATCAGGGGGTCAGACTCTGCTGATTAGTCATATACTGCAGAAAGGAAGATGTTTGTGGTTGTTGGAGGTCAGTCATCTCAGGTCCAGGACATCTCTGCAGGAGTTCCTCAGGGTAGTGTCCTTGGCCCAACCATCTTCAGCTGCTTCATCATAAAATCAGAAATGAGGATGTTCACTGATAATTGCACAATATTCAGCACGATTTGCTACTGGGGCTTTTCTTTCCTGGAATGTCAGAGGCTGAGGGGTGATTTTATACAGGTTTATAAAATCATGAGGGGCATGGATAGGTAATTGGCCAAGGTGTTTTCTCCAGGGTAGGGGAGTCAAAACTATCCGGCACAAGTTTAAGGTGAGAGGGGTAAGATATAAAAGGGACCTGAGGGACAACTTTTTCACGCACAGGGTGGTGCGTGTTTGCAACAAGCTGCCAGAGGAAGTGGTGGAGGCTGGTACAATTATGACATTTAAAAGGCATCTGGATGGCTACATGAATAGAAAGGGTTCAGAGGGATATGGGCCAAAATGCTGGCAAATGGGACTAGGCCAGTTTAGGATATCTGGTTGGCATGGACGTGTTGGACTGAAGAGTTTGTTTCCATGCTGTACTGCTCTATGGCTGTATGCTGATACTAGAGCAGTCCATGTCCAAGTGCAACAAGACCTGGGCAACATCCAAGCTTGAGGTGACATGTGGAGAGTAATGATCATGCCACACAAATGCCAGGCGATGACCATCTCCAATGAGACAGACTCTAACCACCATCCCTTGACATTCAACAGCATTATAATCACTGAATTACGATCAATATCCAAGGATTTTGCATTTATCAGAAACTGAACTGGACTGGCCACATAAGTACAGTGGCTACCAGAGCAGGTCAGAGTCTAGGAATACTGCAGCAAATAACTCACGTCCTGACTCCCCAAAGCCTGTCCACATTAGTCAGGAGGGTGATGGAATATTCCCCACTTGCCCTGGATGGGGGCAGCTCCAACAACACTCAAGAAGCTCGACACCATTCAGGACAAAGCAGCCTCTCGCTTGATTAACGCCTCTCCAGGTGAGGTAATGGAGAGAGGGAGGGGAGAGAGGACAGGGGAGTTCAGAGAGACAGTGAGAGTGAGTGTGGTGTGGAAAGGTAGGGAGAGAGACAGGGAGACAGATGTGTGAGATAGGGAGTGCAACAGACAGAGGGAGGGGGAGCCAGAAAGAGGGTGGGCACAGAGAGAGAAGTTGGAGATGGGTGGGTGGAGATGGGGGAGCAAGAGCGAGAGAGAGAGATGATACAGAGAGGGGGATATAGAGAGAGTCGGAGGCAGAAAGAGGGATTCAGTACAAGAAAAACAGCCAGCAACAGATAGGCATAGCCACAGTGGGAGATCAGACTGAAGGATACAGAGTAGGAGAATGTGATAAATACAGACAGAGAAACATATTTAAGGTTTTAGCAAAGATTTGTAGCTCGGGTTTTCTTGTGAGGTTGTTGACTTGCTCGCTGAGCTGGCTTGTTCTTGTTCAGACGTTTCGTCACCCATGCTCGGTAACATCATCAGTGCAGCCGATGAAGCGATGTTATTCTACTCCACTTGGAATTTATACTGTCTGGTGCGTTGTGTTGAATAGTGTCATTTCCGGTTTTGATCTGTGTGGGTTTGTATATGGGGTCCAATTCTCAATGTTTGTCAATTGCATTATGGGCAGAGAACCATGCCTCTAGGAATTCCCGTGCATTTCTATGTTTGGCTTGGGTTATAGTTACATTGTCCCAGTTAAACTGATGGTCTTCATTGTCCGAATGTACTTATATTAGGGAAAGTCCGTTGTGTCATTTTGCTGCTAGCTGATGTTCGTGTATTCTGATGGCTAGTTTCCTTCCTGTCTGTCCGATGTCATGTTTGTGGCAGTCGTTTCACGGTATTTTGTAAACCACGTCAGTTCTGCATGTTGTGGGAATGGGGTCTTTAATCCTTGTGAGGATGCAACGACTACCACAAGCATTATATCGAACAGACAGGAAGGAAACTAGCTATCAAAATACACGAACATCAGCTAGCAGCAAAACGGCACAATGAACTTTTCTTAATACCAGTACACTCGGACAATGAAGACCATCAATTTAACTGGGACAAAGTAACCATAGTAGCCCAAGCCATACATAGACACGTTCGGGAATTCCTAGAGGCATGGTTCTCCACCCGTAATACAATCAACAGACATGTAGAATTGGACCCCATATACAAACCCATATAGATCAAAACCAGAAATGACCCTACTCACAAAAACGCACCAGACAGTACAACTTCCAAGTGGAGAAAAACAACAACGCTTCATCGGAGGCTCCACTGATGATGTCACCTAGCATGGTGATGAAACGTCTGAACGAGAACAAGCCAGGTCGGTGAGCAAGTCAACAACCTCAGGGAAACATATTACCCATTGAGCTTGCTCTTGAGACTGAAATGAGGTCAGCCATGGCCATATTGAATGGCAGAGCAGACTGAAAGGGCTGAATGGTCTACTCCTCCTCCGAGTTATTACATTCTTAACATAACTAAGATGCCCCAATTCACAGCTTCTCCATCTTGACAACAGCAGAGAACTTTTGTCACACAAGTTACCTTTGCGCACGTCATCCGTATCTTTCCCCTTCACAGCTCATCCCTTCCCTGTATGTCACACTCCAGTGACCGTCTGCAAACTCAAAACTAACCCTCCTGCCAATCGCCATCTCACCCACTCGCTGACCATTATGTGGCAGCACCAGAACACTCTGCCACTTGGGGTGGAGTGTGGGGATGAGTCTGCCTACAGTGGGTGATTATGGGAGGAAGAAGAGTGAGGGGCGAGTGGTGCAGAGTGGGGAGAAAAAGGAGACAGTGGAGGTGGAGGAAATATAAGGGAAGGGTGATTCCATATTTAGAATCATAGAATCCCTACAGTGTGGAAACAGGCCCTTTGGCCTAACAAGTCCACACCGAACATCAAAGCATCCCATCCAGACTCACCCCACTATAATCTACCTAATTTACACATCCCTGAACACTACGGGCAATTTAGCACGGCCAACTCACCTACCGTACACATCTTTGGACCGTGGGAGGAAACCAGAGCACCTGGAGGAAACCCATGCAGACATGGGGAGAATGTGCAAACTCCACACAGACAGTCACCTGAGGGTGGAATTGAACCCGTGTCCCTGGCACTGAGGCAGTGGTGCTAACCACCGAGCCACCATGCCACCCAAATTGGGGAAACACGGTGGCTCAGTGGTCAGCACTGCTGCCTCACAGCGCCATGGGCCCGGGTTCGATTCCATCTTTGGGTGACTGTCTGTGTGGAGTTTGCGTGTTCTCCCTGTGTCTGCGTGGGTTTCCTCCCACAGTCCAAAGATGTAAAGGTTAGGTGGATTGGCCGTGCTAAATTACCCATAGCGTTCAGGGATGTGCAGGCTAGATGGGTTAGATATTGAAAATGCAGGGTCATGGGGGTGGGTCTGGGTGGGATGCTCTTTGGCAGGTCAGTGTGGACTCGATGAGTTGAATGGCCTGCTTCCACACTGTAGGGATTCTATGATTCTAAGACCTGGTGTACTGTAGGGGTGGGGTGGGGTGGGGTGAGGTGGGGTGAGGTGGGGTGGGGTGGTACACAGTGAAGAATGAGTGGGCTCAGAGTTGGGCATAACAGGAAGACACTGAGGCACGTGGAGGACAGCCTGTGCATTGTGGGTGGAAACAGAGGAAGTGAGGATGAGTGGGAGAAATCTCAGGAGTGATAACATAACTTTGCTTTGAGTAAAGAAAGAAGAGGTTATAACTTTGAAGATGATTCTGATTCCATGAGGGTTTAGTTTTAACTAAGAAGCCGTGTTCCGTGTCTAAATTTACAGAGGATGGAGCTGGAAGATATTTTACCTCAGCTTTGATTTGATTTGATTCGATTTATTATTGTCACGTGTACCTAGGTACACTGAAAAGTTTTGTTTTGCGTGCAGTACCATACAAAGTGCATTAGGGTAATAGATCAGAGCGAGGAACACAATGTTACGGCTGCAGAGAGGATGCACAGAGCGCGAGATCAACATTAAATTCAAAATTTGAGCGATCCGTTCAGAAGTCTCATAGCAGTGGGGAAGAAGCTGTTCTTGAATATGTTCGTATGTGCATACAAACTTCTATATTTTCTACTCCATGGAAGAGGGTAGAAGAAATCATAACTGGGGTGGGAGGGGTCTTTGATTATGATGGTTGCATTAAAAAAAAGGTAGCTGTGAAGTTTCAATGACCAAGAGACGCCTGGATCTTGATGTTACAGAGAGTTCTGATAGGGAGAGCTGTAAATGTGTTGCAGCTGTTTATCATGAAGGAATATACTTAATGCTTGGTCTTGAAGATTATCATTTAAGATTTAGGACTTTAAGCAAGAGACCTTATCAGATACTTGCAAATGATAAGGAAAAGCTACAGGATCAGTGAAGTTAGAGTAA